TGAACTTCACTACTGTTACTGGAGTGAGATATACCTCATTTTTGTTTTTATTTGCACCTCTGTGATAATTAGGTATTTTGAACATTTCTTCACCTGTTTGTTGGCTATCTGAATTTTTTCTTTGGTCAAGTATCTATTTATATCTTGTGCTTAATTTGTGATTGGGTTGTTAACCTTTTTTCTTGCTGAGAAGTATTTTAGAAATTTTAAATATGCATCCCTTATCAGACATGTTCTTTTAAAATATTTTTCCCAGTCTATTTTTGAAGAAGTTTTTTAATGTCCATAGGGATTTGGTTTTTAGAACCTCCCATTTAGGTTTTCCATTATACCTGGAAGTTTGTTCATGCTTTAGATTAGGGCTTCAAGAGTTGTTTCTAGGGTGGTTTTTTTTTTTCTAGTGAATTTTATAGTCTTTGGTTTTACTGTTAGGTCCCTGACACATCTTAAGTTGTTTTTTGTGCATGATATGAAATGTGAATCTTGCTTCAGTTTTCTCTACATAAATTTCCAATTTTGTTATTATGTGCCATCGAGTCACTTATTTCCAATTTTGCCTATCATGTTTGTTATAAAAGCTGTAATTTCTCCACTTAACTAATTTCAACTACTTGTCAAAAAATCAAATGACCATAAGTAGATGAGTTGATATCTGGGTTCTTGATTCTATTCCGTTCATCTGTCTGTCATTGTACCAGTAACCTGCTGTATTGATCACCACAGCTGTGTAACAGGATTTGAGATTCAGGGAGTATGATGCCTCCTACCTTGTTTCTCTTTTTCAGTAGTGCTTAATGGGGTGTCTCTACTTTCCAGACAAAATTGGAAATTGCCTTTTTCATCTTGTTGAAGAATGGTGTCAGTATCTGCATTGGTATTGCATTGAACATGCAGATCGTTTTTCCCAGAATTGTATGTTCACAGTACTAACTCTTCCTATCCCTTAGTATATCCAGCTCCCATACTTCTATTCCTTTTTCTACCAATAACAGTTGGGTCCAATGTTTGTTGCAAAGTGACTCACAGACTACTCACAGTTCTGACGTTTATTAGGGAAATAGGTTGAGGGGTTGGAAAGGCAAAGAAGCAATAAAAGTCCAGGTGTAGCTCAGAAGTTCCAGGCCAGATTAACATGGCAAGATGTATTGCCTCAATTAGTGAAAGTCCAGGATCAGTTCAGCAGAAGCAAGAAGCAAGAAGCCTCTGGTTTCCTTAATCATCCATCAAAATTTATCTCAGAACAGTTCAACAACTCAAATAAAACTCTCATCTCCTTATTGTAAGCTTTATCGCCTAACAGTCACAGGTCAGCTTTCCCTTCAATTATCCAGCAAGCAAAACCTTTAATGTGGCTCCATCTCCAGGGTTCCTCAGACTACACAGTATCCTCACAGTCTCTTCACCCCCTTCACAGTCTCATCATAGTGTTGGTACAGTGTGGCAAGCATTCTCTCTCTTGTATATGAATCCCACAGTTATTGATGATTTGCAAGACCATATGTCTGCAATTAAGGTAGCAGAAAACCATTTTCCTAGCACAGACTAACACCATGGCTAGAAAAGCCAACTTTTGAAACTCTAACACCAGAACCATCTAGTCAAGCACTTTTTATTTGTTGAAACTATTTTTATGACTTGTTTAATTTTTTCTTTTCTTTTCTTTTTTTTTACATGGATAACTATGTTTATTGCAGAATTATTTATAATAGCAAATAGAAATAGGCCAGTTCATATCAACCATAAATGAATAAAGAAACTATTGTACATTCACACAGTAGCATACAATCCAACACAAAAGAAGAGTAAAGAATTCACAAACTACTACAGAACAGGAAAATATTTAGAAGACAATTAAAAAATTCATGGCCTTCAAGTCACTAATTGATCCTCCAACGGTTTTCCAAGGCAGTAAATCACCTACAAGATCACACGTCTTCCTCCCGAGGAGCTGCTAGTGGATTTGAACTACCAGAGAGAGGTTTGACCTTTTAGGTGTTCTACTTCAGTCTGTATCAGTTTCAGTGAATTATGTGTTTCTAAGTATTTGCTCATTTCCTCCCAGCTTTCATATTAGTTTGAGTATAGTTTGTAATAAAATTCAGTTATTTGCCTTTTTAAATCAGCTGGTTCTGTTGCAACATTGTCCCTTTTATCTCGTATTTATGAAATTTTTATCTTTTCTCCACCCTTCTCCCCTCATTTATTAGCTTTGATAGTGGTTTGTCACTGATCTTTTCAAAGAATCAATTCATGGTCTTCTTGATAGTTTCAATTGTTTTTCTGTTTTCTATTCCGTTTATTTCTGCCCTGATTTTTATAAGTATTCTTCTTTTAGAGATTTTAGGGTTTCTTTGCTTTTCTTTTTTTTTTTTATGTCATCTTGTACCTTATTTGGTCCTCTATCATTGGTGTTTGATGTATCAAATCTATTCATGAGATTATTTGTAAATTCAGTTGAGGTAGACTCAAAGTCCTATTCTGGTTCTTGTGGATTTGTTTTAATTCATCATCTTGTTGTTATTACATACTCCTGAGTCAGAACTGACCCACAACTGACCCTCCAGTGAGTTTTCAGAGGCAGTAAATTACCCAGAATGAGATTGTCTAGCTTTCTCTTTCAGAGAAGCTTGTGGATTGGAGTCATATGCCTTTGGGTTGGCAGCACATGTCCTTAACACTAATCCACCAGAGCGCCTCTTAATTCAATTAGATAAACAAACATTACTCCTTGACATTCATCACAATGTCTGACAAATGTCAATGTTCTCCTCATTTTCACACTGTGTTCCGTATCTCAATATTTGTCCAATTTTCTGGACCATCTTTGTCTTCTCATCCTTTTTTGAAGAAAGGTTATTATGTTACTATTTAGTTAATAGTTCTCCATTCTTCCTCCTATTCTCTTTTAAAACCATAAAAAATGTTTAGTTCTGCATTTGTGAGCCTATTCTTAACCTGTTACAATAATGCTCCCATAAATATTTGTCTTCTGTGTTTTAACTTAGACCACTCAATTTAAATTCATACATGTTGTGAGAAGTTTCAGGAATTCTTCATTATTCTTTTTAAAAATATTACACTATAGACCCTTCATTCATTGTTGTTAAGTCTGAACCAACTCATAGCTGAATCTCAGTGGGTTTTCAGAGTCTATAAATTAAACAGAAGGATTTTGCTCATCTTCTCCTGATCGGTTTGAACCACTTGTCTTTGGAATAGCAGTATAACTCCTAACCCACTAGACTACCAGAACTTCATCTAGTATACATAGGGACCACAATTTGTTTATTCAGTCATCTATCAATGGATATTTAGGTTGCCTCTTACTTTTGAAAATGTAACAATGATCTTGAATGTGATTATTTATATTCCTGTCACAACTCTTTCTTTTCTAACATATATACTTATGAGTTGGATTGCTAAACCAAATGGCATTTTTATTTATAGTTTTAAAAATGCATTAATAAAAAACAAGGAACTCATGCAATATTATTCAAAATCCCTGGAGGATATGCTGCTGAGTGAAATATCTCAGTCACAAAGGGACAGATGTTATATGGTGCCTGACATCGGGGTGGGGGTAAGACTGAGAAAAACTGGATAAATTATGTTTACTGCATTGAAGTCTATGAGGGAGAGAATAGTTTAAAAGTATCAAATTTTAGGGCATTATGTTTATTATAAGAGTACAGAATGAGGGTTACAGAGTGGATTATATTTGGGGTAGGGGTGGGGGTGGGGGTGTGCAAGGGGGATTGTATACTAAGGAAGGAGTTTTTATTTTACTTTTCAAGGAGAGGAGCAAAGGGGGGGCAGGGAGAAAAGTGCAACAATGCATGAATGGAATTCCAAAATCTCTGTAGATGTTCATTGAAATAAAAAAATAAAAAATAAAAAATAAATGCATTAATAATGTTTAAGGGTTGTACGTTACCCATAACTTCATAAACATATCTTTATTTCTAATTTTTTATATCACTACATTTATTGCCAGACTGAGATGATTTTTCATTATAGTTTTACTAGCATCTTTCATAATTCGAAGTTGTGAAAATCTTTTGTATATGAAGGACTTCTTTGATGTGCTCATGCCTTTTGACCAATTTTTTAAATGGACATATTTGAGGTTTGTTGGTGTTGCTGTTGTTGGGTACTGTGGAGCTGTATTTGAACCTCAGCTGACCCTCTGGTGGATTTTTAGAGGCAGTTATTCACACAGGAAGAGACTGCCCATCCTTCTCCCATGCAGTACCTGGTGCCCTCCAACTATGTGCCTTTGGGACTGCCGTGCAGCATCTTGCCATTAGAATCTCTTATAAATTTTAGACATTAGAGATAATTCATTGGAAAGTCCCTTCCCCCTTCCCCCCAGAATGAAATTTATATTTTCAGTCTTTTGAAGAGCCTAAACATTTAATTTTTAGTAAATTTCAATCATGTAGCTTAGCTTCTATTTATTCATAATGCATTCTGTTTCATATTTATGCTGTAGATTATAACCTCAATTTTCCCTTCTATTAACAATAGAGTGTTAGGTGTAAGATTTTGGTTTTTAATTTTATGTTGAATAAGTTTTTGTGTATGCTATGAGTTATAGGACCTCCTTCACTCCCCTACTATTGGATATCTCATTCCGCCAACTACATTTGCTAAGGAAACTCTTTCTTCACCACTCAACAGCAAACTTTGTTGACTATGAAGTGCTTAAACCTAGTCATTTTGTTTCTGAATTTTCAATTCTGTTTTGCTAGCCTCTGTGCCTGTTATCGTACCAAGATTTCATATATGTCAAGAAAAATAAAATTGCACTGTGAGTTTACAATTATTTTTATTTATGATGATTAAAAAAATATCTAGGCCTTTCAATTCACCATCCAGAATTTAAATGTTAATTCTAAACTTAAATAAAAACTCATTTTACAATTTGAGTTCCTTTGCATTCAAATGATAAACATTCCCATATAAGTCATTGAATTGAGTAAATTTTTCATTGTGATGTGTTATTTGCCATGTGCTACCTTAGGATTAGCCGTGGTATGTTCATTATGGACAGACATTCTTCTTCTACATCTAGCTAAATTTTTACCCCAGAGTTTTTTCATAGCATTTTTCATCTCGGAATTTCTCAAGGTATATATTAGAGGATTCAACATGGGAGTGATAATGGTAAAAACAACACACACGGATTTATCAATCGGAAAGTTGGAAACAGGTCTGACGTACATAAAAATACAGGGGACAAAAAAGAGGATGATCACTGTGATGTGGGAGCTGCAGGTCGACAGGGCTTTGCGTCTCCCTTCCTGACTGTGAGTCTTCAGGGCGTTTAAGATGACTCCATAGGATATTAGGAGGAGGGTGAAAATGATGATGCAGATGGCTCCACCATTGGCAACCACAGTGAGACCTATAAAGTAGGTGTCAGTGCATGCAAGTTCCAATAAGGGGTACATGTCACAGATAAAGTGATCAATGACATTGGGGCCACAGAAGGGGAGATTATACACAAAGAGAAGTTGAACCACAGAGTGTATAAACCCTCCAATCCAGGCCACCCCCAGCATCAGAACGCAAACCCTTCGGTTCATGATGATCAGATAGTGCAGGGGTTTACAGATGGCCACATAGCGATCATAGGCCATTGCTACCAGAAGAAAGACCTCGGCCCCACCAAATAAATGTTCAATAAAGAGCTGCCCCATGCAAGCTTGGAAGGAAATAGTCTTTTTATCATAGAGTAAGTCTATAATCATCTTGGGTGAAACAGCAGTGGTATAAACAGCATCCATGAGTGACAGATAAGCAAGGAAAAAGTACATGGGTGAACCCAGTGCAGGGCTGACAATGACAGTTACCACAATGAGTAGGTTTCCCAGCATTGTCACAAAGTAGATGATCAAAAACATCACAAATAGAGCTTTTTGAACTTCAGGATCTTGAGTGAGTCCGAGGAGGATAAATTCTGTTACATTGTTACTCTGTCCCATTTACTCTTCCACAATACTTGATTCAAAGATTAACACTCAGAACAAGACCTGTCATGAAATAATGGACATCAGTATGAATATATCCATTATCAAACAAACAAAACAAAACAAAAACACCTCAGGAATTCTTTGCTCTTGGTTCTTAGCCAACTCATGTCTGACCCACCAGTGGGATTTTGGAGGTGAACCTTGGTGGCCTACTGACAAAACAGTTATCCTGCCAACCCAAAATCAGGTGTTTCAAACCCACCAGCTGACCAGTCGGAAAATGACGGATAGTGTTCTTCTGTGTTATTTGCAGCTTCTGAAACCCTCTGAAAGGTCATCTATGAGTCGGTTCTGATTCAACAATATAAATTCATTCATTCTCATGCATTCAATGTAAATTTCAAGAAAGAGATTTCCCCTTTTTCTTCCTCAAAGTCACTAGTGCAATGCAACCTCCTAAGAAGTGTACCCTTTGGGTTGACAGGACAACTCTCTAAGACCTATCAAACCCCAATACTTCTCCAATATTAGTCTTTACATTAGCTTATTTATACAAAAGAAACATTTGTCATAGCTACAGGGTTTCTTTTGGCACTCCACAGGATATTCAGTACTCTTCTCCAACAGCATAGTTCAAAGATATTGAAAAGAAGAAACAGATATGTCTTGTAGAAAGTGCAACCAGAGTGCTCCTTGGAGTCAAGGATGGTGAAGCTTCATCTCACATACATTGGGCATGTTGTTAGGAGAATCTATTCCTTGGAGAAGGACATCATGCTTGGAAAGGTGGAGGCTCAGTGAAAGAAAGGCAGACCCTTGATGAAATGGATTGATACAGTGTCTGCACCAATGGGCTCAAGTGTGTGAGGGATGGTAAGGATAGTGTTGGGTAGGGCAGGGTTCAGATCTGTTGTTCACAGGGTTGCTATGAATCATAGTTGACTTGAAAGCACTTAACAATAACAACTGAATTTCTTTTCTGAAGATCCTATTATATCTTCCTTTGACAATTCTTCCCCTACCTCAGATGGTTGGAATGAATTAACAAACATGAAATTCTATTCTAAATCACAGTAGAACCTCTCTAAAGATCAGTCTGAGGTCCAACAGTCATTAATTTAATACTTTTTAATTCTTAAAATAAATCAGAATTTGTCTCAAAAGTCAACAATGACAAATATAGCTTAAAGGAGTTCCACTCTATATTCTCTGATTAGTAAAGAGAAACTATAAATTGTCATATAATCAACACTTAGAACCAAAAACATTTGTAGAGAGTAACTTTGATGTGATATGATGATATGATATGATGATATGATATGATATGATATGATATGATATGTAGCACCAAAAAATAGCACTGTTTCAGAAATAGATAACTAAATATCTCATTCAATTATTACAAATTCCAATCTTGCTGTATCATCAAACATTGCTCAGTCTTTTTTTAATTTCACAGTAATATGAAGAGTATGAAGTTTGAAATATGTCAGGTAACCAGAAAGCTGTTTAATATATTATTCCAAATGGCAACTTGAACATAGATTTCTTATCAACTCCTTTAGGAAGCATACTTGTTTCATTTCCTCTCCTCCGGTCTCATATTTCTTAGCACACTTTCATATTCTGTTAACACAGAGTCAGTACTTCAAGCCGGTAGTATCAGTGACTACCTTTACAACATGACCTAGATTTTCAGCAAATATTTGTGCACTGAAGGTACCTTACTCATAACAATCTACACCTATGATATTAGCCATCCTTATACTTTTCCAACCCTTTGGAGTGAGCTTGATGGTCAGAATAAAAAAAAACAACATTGTAAAGAAAGTAAATGACAATGGAATGTTATATATAACTCTCCTCGGACAATGAGATTGATCAAAATTATATTTCAATATATAAATTCCATAAAGAATGTACTCAAGGGGAAAGAACAAACTCAGAGTAAGCAGGTGTGAATTTTAATAACTTTCCAAATTTATTCATTTATAGAATACAGGATTACAAATGACAATGGAATGTTATATATAACTCTCCTTGGACAATGAGATTGATCAAAATTATATTTCAATATATAAATTCCATAAAGAATGTACTCAAGGGGAAAGAACAAACTCAGAGTAAGAAGGTGTGAATTTTAATAACTTTCCAAATTTATGCATTTATAAAAGACAGGATTACACAGGATTATTTCAGACTCCTCTCAACTCTAGTCCAACTATCAATGGCACTAGCACTAAAGCTCACTCTACATTTTTCTGCTTGATACTTCTATTTCTATACTTTAATTAAACAACAAAGTTTACTACTTTTTCTTTAAAAATGGTAGCCAGTGATGAGAATTTTTTATTAGAGTGAGAAAATAATAATTAAAATTTCTTATCCAGTGCATACCTATTTAAGACCCAGGATATCTCTGGAGAAAGCACAGCACAGTGGTGAAGAATTATACTTTGGAGCAACACTGGCGATGTTCTAATTCTACCTTTACCACTAGCTTTCTATAAGACCTTAGCAACTTAATAAATTTATTTGTGCTTCAGTTATTAATACTTCTATTGAGGCCTTCAATATGCACATTAGATCAGAAAAAATCATATAGATTTTTGTATATTTAATAATAAATATGTCAGTGTCTGGTGGCCTAAGGGCAGCAAGTTATGTTGCAATCCTATAGGCACACAGTTCAAATCCACTAGATGCCTCGTTGGAGAAGGATGGGCAATTTCTTCCTATATGATTTGCAATCCCTGAAAGCCTACTGGAAGATCAGCTAAAGGTCAGTTCCAACAATAGCACCCAACAAAAACAACAACAGCAACAAGCACCCATTTATTTACATTGTATTAAACTGTATCTTGTAACAATGCTCTAGTTCATCTCTATAATTGTATCTGAATTATCATAGCTATTTCTCAAGGTATGTGTATTATATATATTCATACATATATGTATGTATGCATATCACTTATATGTAATAATATTTATTTTAAAAAGACTTAAGGATTATATATTATAGATTACTGCTGAAAAATTAGACAGACTAAATCCATTTACTTTTATTCCATTGTCATGTGAGAACATGTATATAGTATTTCTGACCTTTCCTTTAGTAACCAACTATAAAAACTGCCCTATATATTCTGGTGTTTCAAGAATTCTATTTGTTTAAAAATTCTAACTTGATACAGGAACAGCTAATGAAAAATATAAAGATAAAATCCATCAATGTCTAATTAGCTTTTAACTTACCTTCTGGAAGGCCTAGTGCCCTTAACTTGTAATAATCGATGCTGGATTTCACTGGGATAATGATTCAATTGGTCAGCTAAGTCATTTATATTTAACATTTGGTGTGTTAACTATCCTCTATAGGCTAAGCAACAAAAGTTTATACTATAGAAACTAAAAAAGAACATTACTAGACTTAAAATGTCAATCACTAATCGCTAGCTGAATTTTAAAATATTCACATAGAAAATTCATATCAAGCTTCCAGATATATTTTTGTTATGTATGATACGATAGCTACTATTTAAAATTATTATAAATATTTATTAGCCTATTGCATAATCAATGACTCAAAATTGCAAATACACTGATTTACTTGCAATGAACAATATCTTTCTTTTATTTTTTGGAAAAGTATTAAAGCCAACGAGACTGTGTATGCTCTAGTTAAATTCTGTGTTTTCCATCTTAGAAATTCAGAATTACTCTCATGAAATAGACTTAAGACATTAGCTATATTTGAGTATCATGTTCAGTTTTAATAAATGGCCTTTATAATTTTGTTTTTCCACAAACTCACCTCTTGGATCTCATTCTTAGTCTTGAAGAGCAGTGCTTCTTTCATTGAAAGTAACTGTAGATGTATTGTGTATTTAATAGGCAGTCACAGAACAGATGATGTTGCACGGCAGATGTGTTGGCCTAGAAAAGGTTCCAAGTGATGATACTTTTCATTCTTCCACACAGGCTTCCTATCACCCTTGGTTATCAAAGAATTCAGAATGGTGAATAAGTGGTTGCCTGGCATGTAAAGCTACTTAAAAAACAGCGCCATACTTCCGGTTCAAAGATATTAAATAATTGAACATTTACTCTGGTTTGAAAAATACATGCAGAAATTTGCAAAGGTATTATGTTTGGATGGCTATATAAAAATGGAAAACTTAATGAAAATTAAACAGAGAAAGTTAGTTATTTAAGAACACAAAAATATGACAAATTACTGAAATTAGTCATTTTTTAAGTCATTTATGACAAAAGAGTCAAACGCATTCTTCTGTGATTGAGAATTTGGAGTAACACTCTTGTCTCAAGTCAGTAAATTTTATACCTACCAAGATAAATACTAGAATTTAACTTTTCAGGAAAGGCAAGGCCCAGATTTCTCACAAGAAGACGTAAAACTTTTCAGCTTTCCCATCATTCATTCAAACAACATATCCAAATACTATTTTTTTCTTTATTAAAATATCAGTCCTACATCTATCAAACCTCATCCTAGAAGATCAAGACTTCCACAAATCCCTACAAGTTGTTAGAGATAATGTGTCAACAGATAATACAAAAAGAAACATCTACAAGACTAACAGCCAACTGAAAAGATTCTCCAACTTGAACAAGATTTGAGGTTTTAGAAACTCCTTGGGGTCATTCTATTAGAAATAATTTACATGTGAAGACAATCTATGGCTTTTTATAGCATCAACATTGTATTAAATTAATGACAGTGCAAGTTCATTTAAAAGTACTTTAGTTGACTATTTGGACCAAATTCAAATGCTGTAACCTTTCCTTGACAATTTTCTTCCCTAGGCAATCATTAGGAGAAGAAATGAAAGAAAGAATTACTTCTTGCCAAGAAAATTTAGCAAATAACTAGATAATATGAAAACTCAAGAAATTATAAAATAAAGTGAAAAACTTGTAATAAATTTTCTACTATGATATAGTTAGCTATGACAGTCAACATTTCAACCAAATGTTGTTATGTGCCCTCA